GTGGACGAAATTTCCGTTGATTATCTTTTTCGACCACAAGAAAAATAAATTTGTTTCTTCTATTACTTCGCATGGACCAATCACAGAATAAAACAGTTTTGTTTTTATAGGCTGACTAATACTCTTGTACCTCTCTAGGCAAGCGACAAAACATTCAATTGTCGGTAAAATAGTATGACAAAAAGCAAAAATATAAGGAGTAAAAAACAAGAAACAAGATTGCAAATTGTAGATCAGGCTCAATGGAGAATTCACATCTTAACAGAAGAGCAGAAAAACAGCAGCCAATCAGAACTCGTGCTGGTAATCGACAGCTTCTGCTTTATCTACTACTTACTACCAGCGCGAGTTCTGATTGGCTGCTGCTTTTTGTTTTCCTCTCAAGGTATGAATTCTTCTTGTTCTTTATTGTTGCACTACTAACTGGTGCAATAAATTGAAGTGAGAAAACTATACTCTCACTTTAATTTATCGCACTAGTTCAGCGGTGCAGCGAAAACGAACAGACTTAATATGTTACAGCCTAAACGTATCTATTGGATACACCTACAACGGAAGGACACTTTATGTTCCACATTGGGTGTGTTCCACTTAACGCTCGCAACGATCTCGAGCATCACTTTATTCTTGTTTTTCTTGGATGTTAAACAAAGACAAACACGAATTTGACAGGAAACCATTCATCTTACCCTCTTTTCTCATGACTTTGTCAATATTAATTTTACGACTATTTATTATTTGTTCGAGTAAAAGAAAAGTGCACTGGCAAATTTTACAACTACACTGAATCGATCACGAATGTTATTGTGTGAGTATATCTTTTTATTTGAACGTAAGACGCAAGAATTCTTGACATGCATTTTCTCGCTTGTGACGTCATCAAACAAAGCGGTTGCAGCGACTATCCAGGAACCTTAAGTGGAACCTGCTTATTATTAGCAACGTTTAGCAGAACGTTTAATTTGCAACTGTTGGAAGTTTTCTGAATTGAGATTATTCTTTTAGATCTACAGGAATAATCCAATGTCAGCATAAGAAACTTCCAACAGTTGCAAATTAAACGTTCTGCTAAACGCGGCCATTGACCAATGACATTGGGGGATTTGCTCCATCGAGCTTCTGGAATCAACTATTAAAAGATAGGGTGAGAAAGGGACGAGGAGAAAGAGAAATGTCAATTTGTGTAATATTTTTTCTTATTTTCCGTTTTTAATAAAAAAAAAGTTTAAAGAAACTGTGCTATTATTTCTAAACTTTAAATATTTTTAAATAGATAACCATTTCAGGTTGGACCCCTGTTTATAGGATATTTTCACCTTCACACTTTGTGTGCGTGTATATATTTATGTATGTACATTATAAATATAAGTTTCCATTGTGTTTTAAACTTTATTAAATTGATCTTTCATAATACCAGTACCTCAATAGTTAAATTTGAACAAAAACAGTGACGTTAAAAAGTGCGTATCATCTTAAAAATCGAAATACATAAGGAAATAAATTCTGGCTTTATATGGAAACCTACGTAACGTCACCACTTATTTATTGGTGGTAATATAAAAATGTTAAATTCATTTTGACGAATTAATGTCTCGTAGCAGCATCGAAGACAAATGCATTATCACAGCAGTTGTGTTTAACATTTGCTGTGACATTATCATAGAGTGTATATAAATGCGTGTTTGCATGTTGGATCATACGCGAGCAAATACATATACTCCATGTCAGTATAAAGTCTAAAAGGCTTCGTAACATATTACTTCCGATCACATATTCTTCCAGAACTTTGGGTTTTGTTGTAACCGCCTCTGAAACGTTTCGTACCACCCTTGCACTGATGAGAGAGGTACAAAATTTTCCGTTGGGTTCAATACTACTTGTGCCTGTGTCACCAAAAAACTTGTCACATAGTTCATGAAATTTGTCAGCATTTTCTCTGCAAATTCTATGGAATTGTTGGTCATGATGGTAGCAAGTGTAGCTGCTTGCTGTTCGATTACTGCCAGTGGTTCCACAGATACACCAATTTGAGCCATATGCGAGATCTTGCCTATCCCAAAGATACCTACATTGCTGTTCTCGAACTCGTGATTCTTTTTCAACGTTGATATCTTAAAGATAGCTGATGGCTTAACATTGGAAATATAGCCGAGAAATTGCCAGTTGGGTGGTGCGCTAGGATCTGGCCAACTGAAGTACACTGCAAACAATTTGTTGATCTGAATGATAAATTCTGCTATGCAAAAATATTTCCGAGTTGTGTGGAAAAATACTTGTTTTTATGCTTTACCTGCACCTCCCATACCATCAGGAAATGGCACGATACCGGTCAGGAAGACCACGATATGATTTATGTTATCGGCATCAGGCACATTGATTAAGAACTGATTTTCCCCAATTTGTTGGAAGTCAGTTTGAGCCTGAAAAGCAAAGGTGAAGTATAGTACTTATTTTCATATTACGAAATATAATTGTAATCCGCGAATCGATGCAGCTGAGAATTTCGGTGGCACGATGACAAATGAGCCAACGAGAACATATTATCTCGAAGAAAAAATATCTCGTCGATCGCGTCATTTGAGGTCCATTTGACAGTGACGATTGACAAGTGTGATAAATGACGATTGATAGGAATTTATACTCACGAGTCGCCCAGCTACGAGTATTCCGAGCATTTTCTAGACACATATGATCATTCTATCCGTGTTTCATTTATCATGATATACCGGAGAATCACCGTGAAAACTGTTATGTTTATTTCACAGACGAGTCACTGATGCAAAGATAGTACTGAATGCACTATACCATTGTTCATCGCTGACATGCGACTGAATAGAATCGGGACTTCATGTGTTAAATTGCGAAGGCGCGTTTCCACAAAAAGTGCAGTGTCTAGGGATAGCCAAAATCACCGATGTTTTTCATGTTCGCTCATTTAAGATGGTAGTACATCTAGAGAAAATGTTAGGTATGTAACTCTAGAAATTCTCTATTTGATAGTCAATCGGCCCATCCGACAAACTCATTAGACGCATCTTCAAATGAGCGAACATCGAGGTTTTTCATACATCGACGATTTTGCCCATCCCTAGTGCAATGCCATGCATTGGTTCCGATCTACAATAGGTGCTTTAAGCTCTATGCTTTAAGAAATTGACCAATCACACATGACAGTCGAATATAAGGAAAATAATCGACTGTGATCGATCAATTTCTTAAGGTTTAAAGCTTAAATTCTTATCGTAGACCTCGCTTTAGTATCTTAAGATTTAAGGCTTAAAATACCTATTGGAGATCGACACCAAGCGAGGTCTACAATGAGAATTTAAGGCGTAAGTTTTAAGAAATTGACTAATCACAGTTAACTATTCTCTTCACATTCAACTATAATTGGTCAATGTTTTAAGGCTTAAGGAGGGCAATACCGTATCTCGGATTAAAAAATCCAATTTTTATTTTTTACATTTCATGGAACTATATACTTTTAAGGATCTGTTTCTTCTTGTCGTATTGAAAAACTCGAAAAATTGCAGAAATTACAGCATATTATTCGAAGTGGCGCGCGGGTCAAATCCGGCGCTCACCGTGCCGGTCAAAATTTCGTCATGTATATGTCGTCTACGAAGGTCCTACGAACCCTAGGTAATAAAAGAACAACTCTGGTGTGTAGCGCTTTTGTTAAAATTGATACATATCTTGAAGTATCTCAATGTGTTTCACGCAGTCATCCGTGTGTATGTATGTGTATGTATGTTTCGTCGTTCAGTAGCCACTCGACCTCAGCTCATACGAGCGTATCGTATAAGGATGGATCGCAAGGATACTAAATTTACATAAGTTCAAGACGGCATCGAAAACAGTAAATTTCACGGAAATAAAAGTACCACCGAGACAGAATCTAAGTTCGTGGAGTTAAACCAGTTACTTTCGAGGCAAAACACTCTTCGTCGTCCAAGCCAGTCACGGATATCGTATCATCAATTTTATTGCCGTTTTCACAGCACTCTCGCAAATGGTTATCTGTCGGGAATGCAAAAAATATACAGATTGGTGAGAGTGGAAACCGCGGGTTTGGCTTCAAATTTGCAATTACATGTACAGGATTGCCACTGAAAAACTGAAGGGTTTGAAAAAGTCATAACTTGTTCATTTTC